ATCCAAGTCCATCTTTCTTTTTTTTTTTTTTGGGTTGCTTCCAAACACAAACCACAAAAGGAATGTTTCCAGTACACATATTGGGTTTACATGACTTGTGGTGGAGGATAGCACTCCTGTGAGACCTGGACGTTTTGAGGACTGTGTGGCTATCTGAGGAGATGCTGAAAGAATTTATTATTCAAGCTGCCCAACTTGCAAATCCAAGTGGGTTTTGCTGTAGAAAGACCCATGCAGTCTGTGTGGGGGGGATACTTGCCTTTAATATCTTTCATCCTTTGTGACATTGCATGCTGGACTACAGATTATAACCACTTTCAGAACAAAGGTTCATGAGGGAAAGAATCAGTTTAGGGAATGGTTGTCTTACCTGTTGAACATGTGAAATTAGGACTGATTGCCACAAGTGGCAGGAAACGAAAGATCTGCAGGTAGGTGCATGAAGAAGACTAATGTCTCAAGGAAGGATTTAGCTGATCTATACTAGAGCTGAATTCTTTAGGTTTACCACATTAAAAAGCTTGTACTCACATCTTACCCACATCACATTACTAGGTCCGGTTGATAACAGAATGGAGGTTCTGGTGAATAGTAGGATGGATACCCAGCTCTCTGGGAATGGTCCCTAATTGTTAAGTGAAATGCTTAATGAGAGACGCACTGTTAAGTGCCTAAAGCTACTTGACTAATAAGAGAATGGTGTTCCTAGCCGTTTTGGAGCCCGTGACCCTGAACTGAAATATCAGTAATGGATATACCACTGACTGCTGGAGAAGGCTCTTCTTTCCAATTTGTACTAATGCGCAAGATTTCTACAATTAGATAAACCCACAGGCAGTCTTCCAGTTAATAAGACTTGTTAGCCAAAAAGGATGTAAGAATGGGCTGAAAACAGAAAAAAAATACAAAAGAAAACAAAAACCTAGGATAAAACTTTGAATTCTCTTTATTCTCCTTGCTGTGTTTGCAACACATCTCCTTCTTCCTTCCCATGCATATAGTAATGAATGAATTGAGTCATAAGAATGCTTGTGGAAACACACTGCTTAAATGGAGAACGGGTATAGCTGCAGACAGCACATAAAAACCTCATAAATAGGAGTATCCTAACCAGCAGTGTGAATGGCTCAGCCAATCTGGAAGCAGAAATGAGGCCACATGATTTGTTTGTTCAGACAAAACTAGCACAGGCAGCTACAAACTGGTGGCGAAGAAGCTGCAGAACAAGAAGTATTAGTATAAATTATTCATTGTGGATCAATTTGAATAATGAGCAAATCTGAGAAAATAATGACCCGTTCACACACAATTTGCATGGAGAAAAAAGCAGCTAAAATTGATAAAATTCTTTGTTACAAATTATTTGCTGTGCACTGGGTGTTGGCATAACATACTCTGAAGCCTGACAGTTCCAGAATAATTAAAATATTAAAATGGCTCCATTTTAATCTTTGATCACATATCTAGATCGCAATGCAGAAATGTCATGTTTACTCATGACTCATAATGAAGAAATGTAGAAATGTCATTATTAGAAGCCCTGTTTTTACTGCATCACGTATCAAAATTCACAGGCAAACCATTACATTTCCTTTTTCATTTTGCAAGCATTTGTTTCCTGGAGGAGCTGAGGCCCACATTCTCAAAACCAGAGGACCTCCTTATACAGGAAATCTGAGCCACCAGATGGCTTTCACTTTCCTGCCACCCACCACCCAATATTTGGGATGGCTCCAAATTTGCTGCCAGATTCTTATTTCTCCCCTTTTGCTCTAGAAGCCTGGCTCCCAATTTTATTGCACCCGGAGACTACTTATGATTGATTTTATAGCATAGACTGAGGAAGAAATGATTAAAAACTTACTGTTTCACCAGTCTTCTGTTGGTGAAGAATTGCCCTCTTCAGCCTTGTTTGATGGCCTTGAGGAATGAGACTGTGTGTGGTCCATTCTATTTAAGTGGGACTAAGGATGTATTGTAGTGGTTGCACTGATGGTGGTGGCATACCCTTCCACTTGCAGCAGTATGCCTGAGATCAGCATAGCGATGAGGTCAGGATGAAGCAGATCGTGACTCAAACCCCAAAAGAGCAGTCTCTGCTCTTCTCTACTGACAGATCTGCTAGTCCAAATGGTTGCCTTCAATACTGTACTCTGCTGGAGCACAGAGAACAATGACAATGTCCAGGATGGGAAAGATCTGAATAAAAACCCATTGCAGGAATGGAAGAAAAAAAAAAAAAAAAAAAAAAAAGATAAGTAACTGAAATTAGGCATGCTCAAGAGAAAGGGAGCAGCAGGTGTTTGCATACCAGCACATCTGTTTAGAAAATACTTCTTTAAATCCAGATTAAATATATAGTTTTGAAGCTTGACCTTTCTAAGTAATTAAAGATTTGCCTGGCATGCCTTTCAGAGATAAGCTGATATAGACAAATGACTAAAATCCTTAGTTTCGGAAGGGCACTATAGTTTTGTTTCTTGTGTTTTTGTTATGCAATTGGATTTGTGCACAAAATACTTCAGAGTTTGGGATCAGGTCACCACTCACCACGGTTCACCACAGTTCACCGTGATGAATGAATTGAAGAATAGCAAAATCCTGGCCTTGTAAGAATGTAGCTGAGTAGATCTAGTGGAAATAAATAGATCTAGAGCACTTGAGAGAACAGAGGAATACCCGTTCTGTCACCCTATTGTCACAGTTTTGTTTTTTGGTTTGGTTGTTTACTTGTTTGTTTTAATGAAGTTTCCCAAGAGGTCATCTGACGAGGAAACATCTTGCAATGAACTGTCAGTTCTCACTACTACTCAAATGAAGCTACAGAATTGAGTCTTGATCTTAACAAAAAGAGGTAGCAGATATTGAGTTTTGAGAAGAAAGTAATCTGCCTAATCAGCTCACTACTGTTTAATATAAAATTGGCTGTATTTTGTCTCTTTTGGCAGGAATTAGCTCTTTTTATCTCTCTCCGTTGGTTCCTCAGCTCTCTTTCTGACCTCTTATAAGCAAGTAAAAGCATCCTTCTGCTCTATAGTTACAAGGTGTAGCAATCACAACAACAACAAAACAAATGGTAATTTGAAATCTGCAACATGCGTTTGCAACAAATTTTGACTTCCTGTGTTTGTGAGGGTTTAGTGTGATAATGATTCTTTATGATGTGAAATCAGTCATTGGTATTAATGATTAATTTTCTTTAATTACTAACAGGTGAAATTACATTGACTAGCAAGTGTCTGTTGAGCTTCTAGGTTTATTATTCTCTTTCTACTGGATCTTGAGTTAGATTTGGATTTGTTATTATTGTTATTTACAGGAACCCTGGGTAGCACACTACCATATGACAGTGAAAATTTCCCACTTCTATTACAGTTGGCAAAAGGCAGTCCTTTCTTATGATAATAATTCACATAAGTACCCTGGCTGAAATGTGATTTTTTTTTTTTTTTTTTTGGCTTTTTGTAAAGTTGGCAAAACATCAACTTTTGCTACTTTTGCTTTCTGCAAGAAATTGTCCTCACAGCTCCACTCAATGATAATTTGTGGCTTCTTACCAGAAAGCTAGATCTGTGTCACTTGTACAAAGGTCAGTGAATTCCAGCTCTAAAACATCTCCAGGAATACAAGCCTGGCAGGAGAGAAGGTATGAAGCCAGATCGCAGTCTATTACAGTTCATTGCTATAGGTTTATTCAAGGACTGCTGAAATGAAAACAAGTAAAACTAGTTTAACTTTTTTTTTTTTTTTTTTTTTTTTTGTAGGCTTACTTTCCTTTCTTGCTCTTTTCCTTGGTATAAAGCAGCTTGTGACCCCCCAGTTGTATGTTATACACAATATGCCTACATCATATTTCGTTGTACTTGATGCATTAAATAATGCTGTGCAGAGAAAACTATGGTAATAATCTTTTCTGGGCTACATAGGAGAAAAGCTGCCTATGTGTCCGCTCTTATGGAAATGCAAATAGAGGAGGTGGAATGAAGAATATTGTTTTCAGATAAAACACTGTAAAATGCTTTTAATAACCCTCGATTCTGATTAAGTGATGTATTTACTGTTAGACTTTCATTACTATTAGAAGAGCTTTTTGAAGGGTCTGGAGCTGGTTTCGTGAGCATGCTGATTCTCTGCTACTAGTGACCCTGTCTTGTAACACTTGAGTTTAAATGTCCATTACTATTTGCATTAACTAATTGTTAATTACAACAGAACAGGGGAAGTGCATAAGACAAGTCATATGAATGCCAAATGAGTATATTAGTGATTGGTGTTATCACAGTGAATACAAAATGATTTCATAATGACTGGGGAAGTAATATATAAAGGAAAGAACTGCTTCCTATTTGATATACTCTCCACAGAACTATAACTTGTTCTTGGACATCATTCAGAAGCTGTGACATAGCCTGGAGGCCTCTAATCCAGTCCTGCAAGGAGCTTGCTCTGAAACGCATTCCACACCCTTGCGGAGTAAGACATGTGTTGGAATTTATTATTTATGGCTCATTGTTATGAGTTGCTGCTATGGCCCAAAGCGTTATAGCTCATACTCAATGCTGTAGAGAGTCTATGCTTTGTAACTTTGAGCCACTGTATTTGAGTCAACACTAAACCTGGAATACTAGAGGAAAGCATTTCACTGGAAGGAGCTTAAAAAGAGTGTTTTTGTGCCTAGATAACTATCTATGTTATCTAGTTACCATAGCCATTCTACTCTATTCTGTGATGGTTACTTTTTGTAGGACATTTATAACGGTAACATTTTAGGACAATGCTGATAAGTTCATGCATAACATCTTGTTATGTGCTCTTCTTTGGGGGACTTTGCCATTGCCAACCCACCATACAATGAACTTCAGTGTTGGGAAACAGGATAGATCTTCAGGAAGTTTGGCACCCGTTTTAACTAGCAATACAAGTACGTAAGATTTGTTGTCACCTGATGTTCTCATAGAACACAAGCATGAAGAAGTGAAGTTAATACTTTTGTTTAAATGTTGTGGAATTTTTGTTTAGTTCTGAGAAGAGTCTTTCACTTGATAAAAATAGAAGTTTAGAATCCTTCAGTCTAACTACCCAAGTGAAACACCAGGTCCTACTCCAATAGAGTTGGAAGAATAAACAGATCAGGTGAGTGAATCAGTCCACAGCACTCTGCAGTCATTTAGAGTCTATTCTTTGGATGAGGCTCTATCCAAAGGCTGAAGTGCTGTGCTGCATACACAGGAATTCATTGTTTTAGGAGAAAGGCCAAACACTAGTAGGCACTGATAAGTGAAGTGGCATGTAGCACAGTGGTGAGTGTCCCTGGCTCTGAATGTTTTGGCGGCAAAGACTATACATTTGCCAATTTTGCATTCAAAGAGTGGATTGATAAAATAATCTGATGAGTCTCTCTCCTCTTTTATTTCTGTGATTTAAGAGGAGGAGGCTGTTTAGTAACCAGTGGGCTCCAGTTCCACTGGAATAAAGACATTAAATGCAATGTTTCTGATAACTACAAATTACCCCATGAGTACAGTAGTTCCTGGGACTTTCTGGTGACCCACCGTGAGAATTAATAAAGATGCCCTTTTATAAAGTGCAGTATTTCTGGCAGTTATTTTTAATGGGTCGTTCTGTGTTAGAAAATCATGCCTGCAAGATTCCCTGGAGTGGCAGTTGGGATGATATTACTTTCAATGAATCACAGCAGCCACCATAAGGGCAGGGCAGTATCTATGGCAGCAGTACCACGCAATGGTGCAACATCAAATGAATGACTCAGCTGGTGACATCTGGCCCCTCTGATCATAACAATTCTGTAGTGTGCAGTACTCCAAAGAGTCCATCCTTCAAGATGATATGCTAGAATGAGGTGGTTTCTTTGTGTTTATCTTGGGTGCCTTCAGGCAGGCATAGGAGATCCTCTGAGAAAAATGCAGGAAGTAATGGAAGTTGGCCTCGTAGGTTCGGTTCTTCATTGGTCAACAATTACTGTGCACCTTAGTGCTGCTGAGCTTGCTTATGGAGGAAAAACATTGCTTTTGGGAGATGTTCCAGTAGGAAGAAAGATGTTGCTGTGGCCTTGAGAAGAGCGATGGAGCATGAAGAAGATTTTTAAGCAAATTTCAGTTTTCTCTTCAAGGCTAGGTTTTAGAAAAGAGAAAGGAAATAATTTTGGATGTTGCTTTACAGCTATGAAATACCATTACTAATTTCCTATTTCATTGGTACCTTCATTATATAAAAAATTTATATATTTTTGTTTGCACAGTACCTTTCATGAAAGAAAGTTTTCTTGATGATACTCGGGTGTTGCAAAGGCAAGAGTGGAACAATCTGTGACAAATAATGAGAGTGAAATGCCAGCCTTTGAAAGGGCTTTGCTTTCCCTACATCGAGTGCTTTAAAAAGCCATCTGCTTACTTGAAATGGCTGCAACACATGGTGCTCTTCCCCAGTCCAATATGTGCTGCAAATTGTAGGCACATGGATCCAGTCAAGGACACAGTGTCTGCCTTAACTTTGGATCTCCTTGCTGTTGTCAGTAAGAGTCTCATCCTTAAACTTGGCTCTTGTGTGTGTTAATTATTTCCTCTTCATGTCCAGCTGGCACAGTGCATCAGCACCTTAAGTTGCTCAATTTGATCTTTGTGCTCATGAACAAGGTAATTAAGCAAGCTACAATTTAAGGAAACGTATTTGCCTTGACTTGTTGCAAGTCTTCAGACAGTGCTCTATCCTAAATCATTTGATAATGTAAGATGCTCTGTGCAGTTTCCCACTTCACTGAGGTTTAGTTCAACAGGTCACAAAATCAGTAATTGATTCTCAGCGTGTCTCTGTTGATTTTATTACAATAATGAGGACCATCTTTTTTCATCTCTGCTAATATGTTACTAAAACTATTGGCTTCTCAGTTTGGTGTCAGGATGACTTTGACAGGTTGTTAGCAACTATATGATGTACAGAACATCACAGAGATGTCTCAAACTGTGTTGCTGCATGCCTTAGAGAGCCTTAGGTGGTCGTGAAATAAGTGAACACACTTCCAAGAAAAAGTTACAGTAAAAACCAAAAATATTCCTCCAGTTTTGATGTCCTAATGAAGAAGTTCTTTATGCCAGCTTGGATTCTTGATCACTGAAGAGTGCTGTGTTTCACAGGAATGGGTGACACTGCAAAGCAAACATGCTGGATTAACCACCGATTAAAATCTCCGGGGAAAAGTTTCCTTATTTCCCAAGGTTCTATTTTTCTTTGTTGCCATTATTGTTTTTTTGAGTAGGAACACTTTATAGTTAAGACATGCACATCTTGAAAGACTTGTATACTCTTTCAGATTGAAAACAGCCAACAAATAATGAGATGAAAGTTTGGAAGGCAGCTCTACAGGATTATCTCTACTGCTTAATTTACCAATTTATCTGCACTATTCCCAGATTCTGGGATTCAAAAAGAAAGCCCAAAACACATCTGCCTGCTAAAACGAATCTACTGACATCAACATTCAGCCTGGGTAGATGTGACATACAGTTTTTGGTTTTAGATTCTCAAGTTATGATAATACTTTTGAGTTTAACAAGCCAAAGCTATACTGATATAGGTAACAAAATGAAGGAGTATATGCACAGCTTCTAGAGTAATGCTGCTGAGAGCAAAAAGAAAAACAATACTACCAAAACCAAGAGCAGCAACAAAAAAAAACCCCACTAATTTGAAAACAAGGAAGAACAAGGCTTATGTCCTTATACACCGAAAGTTTTTATGTACTTGCTACTAATGAAATGGATTCAACAACACAGTATTTTTATGGTCCATTTTATGACCAAGTAATTATATATTTTAGCTGGTCTAAATTAATTGCCATTTTACTGTTTTCTGGTTTAAAGGAAAAAGGTATTTATTAGCACGGTGAGGAAGACTCTCAACCAGAACACAAGCCTTTTATCAGCAAGTGGAATGAAATGAAATAAAGCTTTACTCTTCTTTCCTGCAGGAACATTTTATCTACTTTCTAGTGATATTTCTCTCTCAAAGCCACTTTAGATTTTCATGCTACATACTACTTTAGAAAACAAGTGATCAGCTCGTCTGCACTCCTCACATCCCTCTCTGAGGTAGATGATGTTAGGAGGCTCATGGAGACAGCATTAGATGCAGGCAGGTATTAGCAGACAGATAGCAAGCCTCAGGTGTTGACATGGGTCTCAAATTCAGCAAAACACATAGTGACTATTACAGTCAATGAGAATTTATTGTCTTACAATTAAGCAGGTATATATGTATTGAACTGACAATCTGGATCAAGTCCCAGAGCTGTGAAAGTTTAAAACACCTTACTAAGAACTGTTACTGACTGCTTAGTTTCTATGTCAGACTCTTCCACATGTGACCCGAGGGGAGTGAAGGATGAGCTCATCTAGCACCAATATCTTATCCATCAGTGGAAGGAGCCTGACACTTAGGGGTCTTTTGTTGTTCTTTTTCCCCAGAAGGCTAGTTAGGTAAAAGCATACTCAAACAATTTTACAAGCAGCTTAATAATATAACAAACAAACTGGATGGGGGGGAAAACAGAAGTAGTAGTAGATTACCTCCTATCAGTGGAGATTCAAATGTAAGGAGAGAGTCACGCTGAGTACTTCAGGATCACAGATACCTGATTAGGAAAGAAATGGCTATGTCTTCCAGGCCAATTCCCTGCCAGTGAGAGACTGTTCCCCCCAAATGACATTTTTGCCATGTTTTGCCACCTGCATGTAACCAGGTAGACAGCTTCTACTGCTTTTCTGAGATCTGAAATTGCAATACTGCTCTGGTTTCCCCCTGGGTGTAAACACTGCCATTTAATGAAGATAACAAAGGAGAAGGAAAGCCCAGGTGTGGCATCAGGGAGGAGCCATGAGTGCACTGCACACACGCTTGCTGGGACACTTGGCTCCTGGCAATGCAGCGCCACGTTGTCAATGCTCACACACCTGTGATCCCACCTCATAATGCTCTACTCTCCGCAGTTCTCTCAGCAATAAAAAGACTAAGCAAGAGAAGCACAGCTTTCAAAATACCTCACAGTTTGCTTCAAGTAACTTTAAATCTGATATGATTTTGAAGCTTTTATCCTGCTCCACTTCTTTTAAACCTGAACTTGTACTTTCACAGAGAATTTCTACAAGAGCTTCTCTGAAAATAATGTCTCTTATTATGTTGGTCCACAGCATCAGAGGTGGATGTTGGTGGTACGGCAGGAGAGGTTGAACCTTTCCACCAATATCCCATTACATTTTGTTGCCACGTGACAGATGGCAGCAGAGGGGCAGTCTTACAGAAAGGCATTTGACATGGAAGTGCAGATGGAGCAAAGGCGTGAAACTGAATTCCTCCATGCAGAAAAAATAGTACCCAGTGACATTCACTTGCTGAATGTTTATGGAGACCAAAGAGCGAATGTGAGGTGGTGGGTGTTGCCTTTCAGCAGTGGTTACAGACAAGGCATGTTCCAGATAGCCATGCACAGCTGTCACACCTCAAAATGAAGAGGTCTGAATTAGATCATGTGTACATATCAGCAAATTACAACCAGGAAACCATTTACAGAGCTGAATATTGGCTTCATTGCACTGGAAACAACAGTGGCAACACTGGAACATCACAAAGTTTGCAGCAGGTGGGACCCATGAATGCTTGTACAGGAACAGAAAGAACACTATATGCAGGATAGTCAGAATCTACTGAACTAACATGAGGCTGAAGGTGATACTTTCCCAGATCGCATCATTACTGGTGATGAAATGTGTTGTCGCTACTATGAGCTGGGGTCAAAATGGCAGTCCATGGAGTGGCAACATGTGAATTCATCATTAAAAGTTTAAGATGTAGCTCTCAGTGAGTAAAGCGATGTGCCCCGTTGTACGATCAATGAATATTAAGATGCTACAATTACAAAATAAACAAGAGAGTTTGGCAAAGCAGATAATGATAACAAAAACAGAATAGATAGAAAGCTCACCCTTATCCTGGGCTCACTTAGAAAACTCCAGAAGAGATCCTTCCCCACTGGTAGCCAGCTCTTAAATAGGTCTAGGAGAGGTGGAGCCTGGCTCCACCCCTTCCAGCAGCACAGCTGAATTGCCTTCACCTGTACTCCTCTGGCTGACTCATGGCTTGCCTCAGGTGATCAATCAGAGGTTCAGGCTGTGACTCAGCAGTTCCCATACACTTGTCTTTTGGGACAGGAAAAGGGTGATCCTTCTGGACTTCCTGGACCCTGAACACTCCATCAACTCTGATTGCTATATCTTGATCCTGACTAAGCTGAAGGCTTGAACTTCCACAATCAGGCCAGAAAAGAAGACAACCTTTCTCTTGCAACACAATAAATCCAGACCCTATACCAGTTGGAATACTGTTGAGTACATTGCCAGTCTTGGCTGGACTGTCCTGCCACACCCTTTGCATATCCAGATTTGGTACCTTCTGATTTCCATCTGTATGGATGATGAAAGATGGACTTTGTGGGCAACATTTTGAACATCACTGAAGAAAATGCAGAGCTAATGGTGGTGACTATGTTGAAAAATAATTTTCTGTAGCTGAGAATTTGCTCTTTCAAATAGTGTCATTGGGCTCTTTGTATCCATTAAGTGTCCGTGATAATAAATAGGAGGCATTGCTTTTGGAGTAATCTAAGTAACTTCCATTTTTTTTGTTATCCACATTCCTGTTAGTTTGTAAATAACAGTAGCACTCATTTTCTATACTTTTTTCCTTTGAAAACAAAACAAAACAATACTATGACTACTTTTGGCACTAAGCTTACAAGTCTGAAAGTGCAGTATTTAAATGATCCACGATACATTTGATTTGCAGCTGCATGCAGAGGAAGAAAAAGAGCCTATTTTAAGCTGCTGAAGCAGTCAGTCTTGGTGTTTCAGCTCACCATTATTTTCTCTCCCTAAGCAATGCCTAGTCAGCCACCATCCCAAGAAAGGCAATGCCAGCTTCAGGAAGAGTTATTCTCTGTTAAGTCTTCAGATCTTAAAGGGTGGTGGAAAACTTCACATTCTCCCAGCAGGAGAGCAGGACTCAGTGTAGGTGTAAATCTCTGGCAGCTGATTGTTGGAGCCCACAAGCTGTAACTTGTAAATAATTCACTTAGGCATAGAAAATCTGCATATGAGGATGAAATGTCATTTATAACTCATAGGATATTGGCTTGGCTGAGAACAAGTTTTCAGCTCCTTCATGTCATTAAATACCGCTAAGGAAGAAGGAATATAGATGATGTAAAATAAACTCTGCTTTTTGCTTGTAACTAGAAGAGGATGGCTAACAATAACTACACTGAAAATTAAACTCTCTGGGAGAGGAGGAAGCAGGTATTGTTTTTCTGAAAAGCAGTCAGCTCAGTACAAGTGTTGCAGTTTCTTTACCATTAACTCTGTCAGAACCTCATCCTTCACATTATTCATAGGGCTGGGCTTATAAGGAGACACTGAGCTGGAGGTGAGGTTCTGGAAGGTGCTGAGAATGTTTCTCTTTATTCATTTTTGTGACTTGGAGTGGTTTGCTGAGAGGAAAGATAGACAGAGCACCCCTCACTCAAATTCTGTGTTAGCAGAGGCAAGGTATTTTCACAAGTTGTGTAACATCTTACTTTCTGATATTACTATTACTGTTTTATATTCCTATCTGCAATACACCCTGTTTTTCAGATGTTTGTAATTTTGGCAGACCTTTATTTTTTTTTTTTTCTTCTTTTCTCAATCATTTGCCTAAAGCTTTTCATACCATCCCATGTTGAATGTGTTTGGGAACAAGTTCACCAAAATCCTCAGACAAATCATTGGTTTTATGGAGCAGAAGTAGGGAGAAGTCACTGTCTGAGAAGTCGTTGTTAAAAAAAAATTGGGAAAATGAAGAGCAAGATGAACGTATGGTTGGAAGGGGTGCAGGGAAGGAAATTGAGACTTAGCATTGAAGTAGGGTGCAGCCCTGGTAGTACTTGTGACCTGATAGCTAAATGAAGGATGCTTATTATCAGAGCGCTCGTTCCAAGTGGAATCGTGCCTTCAAAATTCATGGTATTCAGCTCTCTCACTTATCTGAGTTCTGCCTGTATATTGAATGTGGTAGGTATTAATACCCACTTTTCCACTAATTACCCTTTGTCCTCCTGCCATATGCATTGAAAGTAGAGGCAAAGGTATTCATTTTATTTTGGGCTATTCATAGGCTATCTTTAGTTCCTGCTACATTTGCCCTCTGTATCAGCTCCATTTATTCACTCTGTGTTCGCTTTTTATTTAGACAGCTGATGAAATAGCTATTTGTTTTAATCTCTTTTGCAAGGTTTAACTCAGCTTAATTTTCTGGCAAACTTTCCTTTTTGTGGGGAATCATTACTTTACCCCTGTACTGCCTGGCTAAGGAAATAGCTTTATTTGCTGTTCAGACCCTTTTCTCATTCTCTGATTCTGTACTTGACTCTAAGAACACAGTGTGGGATCGCTGCTCGCTTAGATGGGTCTGGAGTCTTTCCTCACAACCCTTTCCTTTGCCTTGCAGCCTGTGTGCTCTGCTATTCAGGTGACTTCCTTAAGTAGTTCATTAATCTCTGAGCACTCACATTTTCCTTCTGAAGACATCTGACAGATAACTCACTTTGAGTGTCTTTCCTAATGAAAACATCCTTGATCTGACAATGCTCTTGGTGCTGAAGATCGGCAGTCAATACTTTGCTTTCTACCTGCCTACCATGCACTCCCTGGCAAGCAGCTTACTCTTCCAGTTTCTGTATCAGCTTTGAAAAGTGGCTCCCTGATCATCCGTCATGGTCAGACATGCTTCTTCATGTGAACCTCACTCTTTTCTTTTTCCTAAGTGGAAATCTGTTTTCTTTTCTGCTCTGGCTCCTTGCTCTCTCCTTTTATAGTACAAGTTTTTTCGCTTTCTTCCTTGGTGCCTCGTCTTTTTCTGCCTGTTCGGGTCTTGCCTTTTATAAATTGTCTCATACAAAATGTCTTGCCTCTACAGATCCTTGTGGTATACCAGCCTGCTTCTGCACACAGCTGTCTTGACTTTCCCCCTGCATTGCTCCAAGCATGAGTTGAGCTTCACTTTTTAGGGAAGGAACAGATTACCCAACCATCTTTCATGAAAAAATCCACTGTGCTCCCTAGTTCCCCAGCTTCCCAAATAAATGTTTGCCTGATTTAAACCTTTGTGTTTGATTGTTACCCATATATCATACAGTGAGAAGAGTCTCTTAACAGACAGACTCCAAAACTGAATGGGTAATGAGTAGCTGCCCATAGACACACACACACACAGTGAGATGTCTGGCTCTCGTTAACTAGTCCTATGCCACCATAAAAAGGAAAGGAAAATGGAAGACAGCAAGATCATAGAATCATAGAATTCTTAGAGATGAAAGGAGCATCTGAAGGCCATCTAGTCCAGCTCCCTTGCAATGAACAGGGACATCCACAGCTAGATCAGGTTGCCCAGGGCCTGATCCAGCCTTACTTTGAAAGTCTCCAGAGATGGGGCATCAATCATGTCACTGGGCAACCTGTTCCAGTGTCTCACCACCCTCACTGTAAACAATTGTTTTCCTTATATCCAACCTAAATCTACCCTCTTTTGAGCTTGAAACCATTTCCCCTTTTTCTGTCACCACAGACCCTGCTGAAGAGTCCTCTTCTCTCCTGTAGCTCCCCTTTAGATTCTGAAAGGCCACTCTCAGGTCCCCTCGGAGCCTTCTCTTCTCCATGCTGAACAGTCCCAGCTCTCTCAGCCTGTTTTCATAGGAGAGGTGTTCAATTCCATGGATCATGTTTTTGGCCCTTCTCTGGATGTCTCTCAACATAGATCAGGATCCCATCTGTGCCAACAGCCACCACTGTTCTTTGCAGTCCTACTATGATTGAAGGTCACAAGAAGGGAGGAGACATTCACTGTTTTGTACTGAAAGACCAGACAGTTTTATCCCTGTCTAGAGGATGGAAAATACATGACAGGTGAGTAAGCAAACAGCTGAAGATAAGGAAGAAGGTGAATGGACTTTCTTGGGGTGGCAGCCTCTGTGGTATCAGTAGTCATGGGTAGGTGCTGTCATACAGACAAACCATACAGCTGCGATTTGTATGTGTGGTAACAAATGGAGGGGGAATGAAAACAAACCATCCAACCCCCCAGAATCTCATGAAACAGGCACTATATCTGCAATGGACTCAGAAGTTAAAAAAAAAAAAAAAAAAAAAAAAAAAAAAAAAAAAAAAGAGAGGAAAAAAAAAAAAGAGAGAGAAAATAAATAAGTTATTAGTAAGTGAGTAAATAAATAAATGTATAAAAAATCACCACTACCCATATCAAAAGAAGAAGAAAAACCCAAAATAACAGTATGAAGAAGAAAAGCTCTCAAAGTAAGGCCTATTAGGGAAACAAGAAGAGGAACTTTTGAAATAAATTCAGAGAAGAAAAAATCATGGAGTAAAGGTAGGCATTAATAAATGAGGAGGAAGATTAAATCAATGATGGTTCTAAATTGGGTAAACTACTGAAATGCATTATAAAAACCTGTTAAAAAAATAAGGAGAAATGGATAATTAAGAAGCAATGACAACTTTGTCAAAGCTATTGATGAAAAGCAGGTAAGAGAATACTTAAAGCATCTGAATATATATACAGATCAGCAGGTGTGCATGCATTTCAGAGTGTTAAGGGAATTAGCTAATGAACTTAAAGAACACTCGCAATTATTTACGGAAAGTTACAGAGTCTGATAGGAAAGTACCAGGGAGCCAGGGGAAAAAAGCAAATGAAATACTGAACTTCTGAAGGTAGAAAGTAAAGCTTAAAAAATGCATCAATCCAGCCACTATGTGTCCAGTTTCTGTGGTGTGTATGTTAAGAGAGAAATCAAACCATAAGCACAATTAACAGCATGGAATTAATATTATGGAGAATAGATCATGCCAGACAAACTTTTTATATAAATTTACAATATTGGGCAAAAGTAGCAAAGGAAAGGCAATGTATCTGAACTCTCCTGAAGCGTGTAGTTATGGGGCTGCCTCAAATCTTACTTGAAGTATGAATTAAAATTGATGTGAATGTCAGCTTTGTCACGTAAACTGAGAGTGAACTGAAGGACCATAAAACAAGGAAAATGATAAATTGTGGTGTTGAGCTATTGGGAGCTGCCTGCAGGGGTGCTGCACAGGCATCTGAGCTAGACATAGCTTTATTTAACATTTTTTATATTGTGGGAATGGGTGGGGGTGGACAAGGTGGAGAGTAGCAGATTGGGTCTCTATTTGGTCTGCACTACTGCAAAGTTGATAAGTAAAAAATAAAGAAATAATAAATAATAAAGTAAATAATAAAGTAATGATAAGGCTTGTAAGTGACAGTCTAGGTGACAGCATGCAGGGGAGAGAAAATACAGCAGTGAATATCTTTGCAGCTGTTCAAATCAGAAGATGCTGCTTTCCAGCCTGGATGCAATACACATGTCCGGAGGATTTTCAGTGTTATCCAAAAAAAAGCAAAACAGGAAGTTATTTCAAAATCTTAAATGAAAATGCTTCATCTTGAAAATGTCAAAGCATTATGCTTTCTTACAGAAAAAAAAGATATGAAGCCAATGCTGTTTGGCTTCCTCAAGAGTCCTTCTGACAAGCTCCAGCGACAGTTTACTTGTATGTAGCACGGTTGAGGCTGCATCAAAAATAGTGTGTACAGTTTGGTACATGTCAATCTAGAAATGTCATCAAGAAATTGGATAGAGTCCAGCACAGAGTAATCCAAATGATTAAGAGTCTGGGGGGGATTCATTTATACAGAAGATTAAGTGAATTATATTTTGATTAGGAGTAGAATTTAACGGTGTGTAAGTATCAGACAGACATCAATACCAAGTAGGGAACAGGATAATTTAGGACAGTCCCAGAGTTTTTGATGCGATGATCAAAAGAAAAATTCGACAGGATATCAAGAAGTTCAGCTGTGATTTTGATTGTATGTTTCCCTCTTTTTGATTTCAGAGTGGACCTCAGAAGTAACAGAGGAAGTCCCTGCTTCTGGAGTTGTCATTGAAGGCAGCATATGGCTCTCCTGCAGTCAGGGATGGATCCTGCAGTGCGATCTAGCCAGCCTTCACACCTCCGATTCCCACAACCCCCACACAGAGGTCACCACTTTCAGCTAGGAGGCTCTGTGCAGTCGCAGTCAGCACCCATTCCCCAGAGTGCTTATCTGGTAAGTTACCTTAACGCAGGTTAATGAGAAGAGCAGCCAGTAAAGGAAATCCCAGGGGCAGGTGGATGGGTGAGGAGCTGCATTAGCTGATCACTAATGTTTATTTCTTTGTAAAAATAAAAAGCCATGAGCTGTAATTGTGTACATCTGCAGTCAGTGCTTGCTCTTGAGGATGAAGACAAAATCATAAGACAGCAAGGTACGAAATGACAAATCCAAGAAGCTGTAGCCATAGCTATCAAAAGCACTGCAACATGCCTTTCTCAAACTCATGTCTGAGAAAATGTTTAATAATTTATTTTTTTCCCAAGATGTACCAGAACAGACCTAAACAGACTTACAGATTCAGAACTGAAAGTGCATGTGGTCTGAAGAAATCTCATATTTAAGGCAAACATTGGTAATAATTAAAGCATAGCTATTGACTTGGAGTCAAAACTTCAGTCATTTCTGCCATCACATGTCCTACTGTATCCATTTCTGAGATGCTGGAGAACTGCCATAATATTCATATTCTAACAACTTACTTAGATAAAAAGAGTGATAGCTGTCCTGTTTCCTTAAACCAGGCACCTCCAACCTGCAGCCTGTGAGCTGCACTCTGCCTGGCCCAGCAAGCAATGTGGCTACCCCCCGTCCTCTACCATCTTAGTGGCCCTGGGCTGGCATCCATTGCTCATCAACAACCAAACGTAGGTGTGCTATTGATGCAGTCTGGGCTGAAACAAGGACACGAGGAGGGCAGTGCTGTGCCGCGCTGACTCAGGTGATGGCAAATAACTGTATGTATTTTGATGCATTGCCTAAGCGCAGTCCTGTGAAAGGTGTGTAACCTTATTTTCCGTTCTGACAAAGGAAATTTGAGAACAGGTTTCAAGATTTCAAAGAAATATATTTAGTTCATCAATGTATTTGAACTCCAGTTTCATTTGACATAAATACATCTTTCAAATGGTACATATGGAGTTGCAATCAGATATTCAATTCAAAAATCTGATCATGTCTCTTTATCAGACTTTTATAGGAGATAATAATCCCTCACTTCACAATCACGCCTTATTCATGTTACCATTTTTAGCAGTACACATATTTGTGAACAAATATTGCCAAGGATGAAGCAAAGGGAGAGTAAAATTTCATCAGACTCTCTGATGAGCACCTTGAGAGCTCACTAAGAGTTGCCACCACTGCTATCACATCAGACTGATGCATTAGCTTCACAAAAACAAATATCCCACTACTTTTATGTTTTTGTTCTCTTCTTTTTTGTTTTGTTTTGTTTTTAAATAAAAGTATTAAAATTAAAATAAATGTTGCTACATACAATAACTATGTTATATATTTCACAAGGGCTGCTCCAAAAGTAGTGCCTCCTATTCTATTATTTTGGCCCACAACATCAGAGGCGAATATTGGTGGTATGGCAGAAAAGGTTGAACCTTCCCACTGTATCCTGCTATATGTTGTTGTCACGAGACAGATGGCAGCAGAGGGGCAGTCTGACACAATGGTATCTGAAATGAAAGTGCACATGAAGCAAAGTTGTGGAGTTAGATTCCTCCATGCAGGAAAAAGTTGCACCCATTGTCATTAATCAGCACTTGTTGAACACTTAATGAGACCAAACAGTGGATGTGAATACAGTGAGGAGGTGATGTGTTTCTGCAGTGATGACAGCATCAGCAGGTCACCTCCGCTGATGAAGATTTTTACAAGCTTGGAATGTGGACACTTGTTCTTTGCTGGTGAAAATGCAGAGCTAACGATGGTAACTATCTTGAAAAATAGTGTTTTAGAACTGCTAATTTGCTCTATCAAGTAGAGTTACTGTGTTCATGTTCTCACTGAACCTGTTGTAGTTTCCATGGAAATAAATAGCAAGCATTACTTTTGGAGCAGTCTATGTATTTGCAGCCCACAGCAATTCTTCTTCATGCAATGTGGCCCAGGCAAGCCAAAAACTTTAAGCCACAGCTTGAAGTGAGATTAATTACAGAATATAAGCCTGTGAACAAAAACGTTCAGCCAGAGCTGTGGGCTTGGTGTTGAAATCTATTTTTATCATCTATATTGGTAGCTGTGAAGCCAGATCTCCTCACTAGAATTAAAGATACCCATTAAAATCAAACAGGAATATTTCCTAATAGCACAGTTCTTAAACATCATCTTTGGTTTAACATTAGCCTAATTCCTACACGTTTATCAGCAACTTATTGAAATGCTGCCTTATTGCTTGTGTGCACCAGTGACAGCTCTGCTGAGAGGGTTGGGCTGTGGTGTGACCTCTCCTTGGTGCATCTCCTGAGGTGCAGAGCCTCCTCCACACTGCACAGTCCTTCTCCTGCAACTTTCAGCTTCCCTGTCCCTGCAGCAGTGGGAACAGGAGGTACAGCAGCTTCACTGCTGATGTAGGGTGGAGGCCCATGCAATGGGAAAGGACTGGCTGAAATCACAGGCCCTGTTTGGTCTCTGGGCAGTGTCCAGTGCACAGTGGTAGGGTAGGTCTTTTCACCACAGCATGACATCCTCCTGTTCACGGGCACTTCCTGCTGCTCAGAAATGCATCCAGCCTTGGAGAAATTCTCCTCAGAAAAGTTGCCTGGATGGAGTACTATAAAAAGGATGTATATTCCAATTTAAAATATGCACAGATCATTCACCGAGGTAGCAACCATCCTTTTTCCCTTCCCCCAAGAAAAAAGTGTAAATCACATCTTCTCAACAAGGCAGGTAGTGAGGATGACAAAATTCTTACATTCTTAAAGTGTTATTGGAGAAAAAATGTCACCTCCATGCATAATTGCATAACTTTACTATCTGTCATTTTCTATCAATCAAAAAAATGTTATACTTGAATTTGAGGACAAACATGTCTAATAAGATTTTAGATTGACAGCTGAATGGCTGTACTCAACCTTATTTTAACTTTATTTTTTTGTTGTTGCTCACTAGATCAACATAGAGAGTATTATACCAAAGTTAAGCGAAACAAATACTCAGATATATTAATCCCTCATGCACACTTTACTTCAAAAAATAGCATTTCTTTCCCTGTAGATTTTGCTAGTCAGCTCCCTTCAGTGTTGCCAGCACTGCAGCAGGAGTCTAATGTTTCTTCCTTTGTGTTTCCAGTGCAGTATTGCCAGATTTTGTCTCAGAGATCAGTGAAGTGTTTGATGACGTGTGCCCAGCAAAAATGCCCCTCTTTTTCCCAGCCTCCCTTGTCCTGGTGCAGGGCTGTGCTGTCCTTTGAGGGAACAGCTTCTTCTGTACTTCTCTCACTGTTGCCTTTTGCCATCCCTCTGCTGATCTTGGTGTTCAGGGTTTTCAATGGTCTCCAGTTTTGCAAATCAGGGGATTTGTTCTTCTTCAGAAGTGAGAATAAGATGATACTTGTATTCCATTCTGATTATTCCATTCTGATTACGGCAGCCCCTTTCCTGTCTCAGTGTATTGCTTTCTGTCTTTGTTGACCTCAGAGTCCTTTTTGACACTCCTGAACATGCCAAGGAACATCTTGCCACCATTGGCCCTTCTCCTTGAAGGTGCTGGTTTTCTACCTTGAGGTTTTCTCTATACCCTTTTTGTCTTTCCCAGACTTCCCATCCCTGAATAAGCTACCAAAAACCTGTTCCTCGGTGCCACAGTTTTCTTCTTTGTGTTCATTTTCAGTTGGTTAAAGTACTTTTCAAACCTAGGATTCATTATTGCTTGGACCTACGTCAGCCTCCAGATGAAATAGCTATGGTCTATCTCTGCTGATCCCTTTGAAAGCCATTGCAAATGCTCTAGGACAGACTGTAAAATGATTAAAAGGGCACCAGGTGCACAACAGAGGTAGATGTCTAATCTTGGCCATCTTCTACAGTTTCTTTCAGTTCTGTGCATGAAGCCATTGTTTCACTCTTCAAAATAAAATACTCGTTGGTGAGGACTATAGGTAAACAAGGGGAAGGAAAGTCTGGTTGCTTTAAGAGAAAAGATGCCTCACTCCAGTCTTCCACAAAGAATATGGTTATTTCTCATTAGAGTACCTCAAAAGAGTACCATGGTGACCTCCATGTACTCATACTGTAAAAGCAGGTCTAGTGTCAGGGATGTCTCTTGCTTCCATGCACATCTGGATGAGCAAGTTGCACTCTACCCCACTTGAGTGGACAGCTCAGGAAGAGGGATCACAGACTTCATTGGGCTGATCCACTTTACTGAAGAAAGAAGCAGAGATAAGACGGAGATTTTGTATCTACACTTGCAATGAGTGTTGTGAAAGCAGTGGGATAAAGATTCCTGGAGTTAAGCTTCATTTAGCTTATTGGCACTGGAAGAACATTGATACTGGAGCAGCCTGGGCCTAGGTATGTAGGAGGCAAAGCATGAGCTTTTATTACGTTCTTCTGTGGTTGCATTCAAGCTGTCCTGAGTATGTCTGAACATGTGGAAATTACACCCCTGATTGCAGCGTAGATCTACAGGTCCCAGCAGTTCCAGGTCTGCTTCAGAGGCAACACCGTACATACAGTGTGTTGCTCACTGCTTGTGGCAAAGCCACAAATGAGTCTCCAGGGATTGTTCTTGGTGAAGCGTCAATACAGGGGAGATGTTTATCTTCTAGTCTCTTTAATGCATCCTTTTTGAGTTTCTGAAATTATTTAGCCTAACTTAATGACAAATGAGCAAGTATTTAAAGGAGCCTTCATATCTGCAAGAATAACCAAGGAGCCAGATGTCAAAATGCGATCAGCCAAAGTCACAATTAAGTGCAACTCAGAGTTTATATAGCCACAATTAATTGCAGGCACAAAACTAGAACTGCAAGGATGCGGTCATTAAAAAAATAAGAAGATTGAGGTGAGACATTCTGAGCATCCATGCTATTATTAAAATTAACAGTAAATACTTATCTTTTTTGCTTTGCAAGATCTTTCACGTTCAATCTCTAAAATCTCTTACAAACTGCAGAGGTACTGTGTCATAATATCCAATGAAAGAAAAAATGCTAA